CAAAAGAAGAATGATGCTGCAACTGTGTTGTTGTTTTCATCCATACCGGAGAATCTGATCTTACAAGTCGGTAATTTAGATTCACCAAAAGCAATATGGGAAGCAATTAAGGCACGGAACCTTGGTGCTGACCGAGTTAAAGATGCAAGGCTTCAATCTTTAAGGTCTGAATTTGAACGAATAACTATGAAGGATACAGACTCAGTTGATACGATCGCCGGGAAGATATCAGAGTTAGCTGCAACAGCCGCAACGCTAGGAGACACGTTTGATGAAGCATTAATGGTGAAGAAGTTTCTTCAAGCTTTACCAGAATCTAAATATATACACATCATAGCCTCACTAGAGCAAGTCCTGGACCTGAATACAACAAGCTTCGAAGATATAGTAGGACGGCTCAAGGCATATGAGGAGCGTATACGAAACAAAACCAGTCAAGATGAGACTCAAGGGAATCTTCTGTTTTCTAAATCAGAATACAGAGGTGAGAACTCTAGAGGACGTGGAAGAGGTCGAAATTCACGTGGAAGAGGTCGGGGAAGATTCAACTCACAAGAAAGAACAAATCAACGAGATCAAAATCAAGAAAAGGAAAAGAAGGATAGATCAAAGATAGTTTGTTTTCGATGTGACAAACCTGGCCACTTCGCATCAGTATGCCCAGAAAGACTGCAGAAAATACAAGAAGCAAACAAAGTAGAGACAGAGGAAGCTGAGACTGCTCTCTACATACATGAACTTGTATTTCTGAATGAAGAAAACCTAGTACCAAAGAAATACGAAACCAACCTTGGAGAAGAAGATACTTGGTACTTAGACAACGGAGCTAGCAACCATATGACAGGGAATCTGTCATACTTTTCTGAGCTTAATCGCAACATAAAGGGCAGAGTCAAGTTTGGAGACGACTCACATGTGAAGATAGAAGGAAAAGGATCAATATTGTTTCAAAGCAAAACGGGTGAGCAAAAATTAGTCACTAATATCTACTACATTCCAGATCTCAAGAGCAATATCCTAAGTCTGGGACAAGCTACGGAAGTGGGATGTGATGTTAGGATGAAATTAAACTACTTAACCGTACATGATCCAAGTGGAAGACTGCTGGTTAGAGTTACTCGATCATCGAATAGACTCTACAAGATAAAGCTTCAAACCGGAAAACCTCTGTGTCTAAGCTCTAGACTAGAAGATGAAACATGGAAGTGGCACGCACGGTTGGGACATATTAGTTTTAAAACTATCAAGAGTATGTCACAGCAGGAGATGGTGAAAGGTTTGCCAACAATCAAAGATGAAACAAGATTCTGCGAATCATGTTTGGTAGGAAAACAGACCCGAAGAACCTTTCCCAAGAAAGCCATATTTCGAGCAACTAAACCACTGGAACTACTACACGCTGACCTGTGCGGACCAATCACTCCACCAACCATCGCAAATAACAGATACATATTTGTGATCATAGATGACTTTTCAAGATACATGTGGTCTATCTTGATGAAAGAGAAGAGTGATGCGTTTAGTAGATTCAAGGCGTTTAAGGAACTAGTCGAAAGAGATCTTGAGAAGAAGATTATGACACTGAGAACAGATAGGGGAGGTGAGTTCACATCACAAGAGTTCCTAAATTTCTGCAATTCAAATGGCATCAAACGGCATCTAACGGCTCCCTACACACCACAACAAAACGGTGTGGTAGAGAGGAGGAACAGAACTTTAATGGAGATGACGAGGAGTACATTAAAGGCAATGAAGGTACCGAATTTCATGTGGGGAGAAGCAGTTCGTCACTCAACATATATAATCAACCGTGTACCAACGAGAGCTCTTGAAAACATCACTCCATATGAGTGCTTGCGTCTGAAGAAACCCAATATAAACCATCTCAGAGTTTTTGGATGTCGAGCATACGCAAAGGTAGATGGCACAATACTTAAGAAACTGGATGACAGGTCTCAAGTATTGGTAAACCTTGGAACGGAGCCAGGATCCAAAGCATACAGACTTTACAACCCATCTACACGAAGAATCGTAGTGAGTAGAGATGTAATGTTTGACGAGAAAACAGGTTGGAGTTGGAACAATAAGTCTGATGAAACACGAGCACCAGGAATGTTTCAGATGACTTGGGGAGAAGTAATAGACTCTGGAGAAGGACCGGTAGTCATCAACGACAATGAAGAAAATCACGAGAATATTGATCAGGAGGATCACGAGCTTGGTGATCAAGAAACTCATATAGAGGACGATGAACCAGTTCAAACAGAGCAGCAACCGCACCAAGTTCAACAACCATTACGACAGTCAACACGGCAAACAAGTATGCCTCGATATCTAGAGGATTATGTATTACAAAGCTCATTAGAAATCGAGAGGCTCTTATTGTCAATGAACGACGAACCAAGATGTTACAAAGAAGCAAAGAGTTCGTCAAAGTGGAGAGGTGCGTGTGGAGAAGAATTAGATTCTATCAACAAAAACGAGACATGGAAGCTTGTTGAGAAACCAGTTGGAGCAAAAGTAATAGGCCTCAAGTGGATCTTCAAGCTAAAGAGGAATGCCGATGGTACTGTCAAGAAGTTTAAAGCACGTCTTGTAGCAAAAGGATACGTACAAGAATCAGGCATTGACTATGATGAGGTATTCGCACCAGTGGCTAGACTTGAAACAATACGACTGCTCAGTGCTCTAGCAGCTTTACAAGGATGGCAAATTCACCATTTAGATGTAAAGACAGCGTTCTTATATGGAGAACTAAAAGAAGACGTGTACGTTGAGCAACCCGAAGGATATGTGGTTAAAGGAAAAGAACAGAAAGTTTACAAGTTGTCAAAGGCTTTGTATGGATTGAAACAAGCACCACGAGCTTGGAATACAAAGTTAGATCAAGTATTGAAAGGATTAAAGTTCAGTCGTTGCTACAAGGAAAGTGCAGTGTATCGCAAAGAAGAAAAGAATACGATTCTCATTGTTGCTATATACGTGGACGATCTGTTCATCACTGGAGACAGCCTTGGTACAATAAATGAGTTCAAGAAAGGTATGTCTGCAAAGTTTGAGATGTCCGATTTGGGTAAACTCACTTATTATCTTGGCATAGAGGTACATCAAGGAGATGATGGAATTGAACTTAAACAAGAAGCCTATGCACGAAAGGTATTGAAAGAAGTTGGTTTAGAAACCTGCAACCCAACTAAGATACCAATGGAGTTTGGTCTTAAGGTTTCAAAAGCCGAGGAAGAAGAAGAGATAGATGCAACAGGGTATAGAAGAAACGTGGGATGTCTGCGATACTTGCTTCACACGAGACCTGACCTGGCCTTTTCAGTCGGAGTAGCTAGCCGTTACATGCAAAGGCCGCGCAAGTCTCATGGAGAAATCATGAAGCAAATAATGAGATATCTACAAGGAACCTCTGCATTTGGGCTAAAGTACAAACGTGAAGGGACAAAGACTGTGACTGGCTATAGTGATAGTAGTCATAACATAGACCAAGACGATGGGAGAAGCACCACGGGTCATATGTTTTATTTGGGAACTTCACCGGTCACTTGGTGCTCACAGAAACAGGACACTGTTGCATTATCTTCATGCGAGGCGGAGTTTATGGCTGCAACAGAAGCTGCACGTCAGGCCATATGGATTCAAGACCTTCTAAGCGAGATCACAGGCTGGAAAACAAGGAGAGTTCTTATCAGGATTGATAGCAAGTCGGCTATACAGCTCACAAAGAACCCTGTCTTCCACGGCAAGAGTAAGCACATACACAAACGATACCATTTCATTCGTGAGTGTATTGAGAGGGAGCTTGTGGATGTTGAGCACATACCAGGGACGCATCAGAGGGCAGATATTCTCACGAAAGCTTTGGCAAGAATCAAGTTCATTGAGATGAGAGATTTGATAGGAGTTCAAGACTTATCCAAGAGTGATTCAAAGCTTAAGAGGGAGATTGTTGAGTAAGCTTTGGTTTACTTGGAGCTCAAGATAATCTTTAATAAGTTGGTTAGAGATAAGATAAGCTCAAATATAAACCTATTAGTATTAGGAGTTATCTATAGCTAATAGAAATAGGAAAAGATCTCGAATATATATACACTTACCAAGTTGTGGTAAAGGTATAACGATAGAGAGGGATTGTCTGAGTTTTTGNAAGCTCAAATATAAACCTATTAGTATTAGGAGTTATCTATAGCTAATAGAAATAGGAAAAGATCTCGAATATATATACACTTACCAAGTTGTGGTAAAGGTATAACGATAGAGAGGGATTGTCTGAGTTTTTGAGTTATATTTCTAAGACAATCAATAAAGAAGAGCAAGTTTCTTTATACGTTCTGAGATCGACTTTAGTTAGATTAGGAGGCCCCTATCGGGTATGACCCATATATTTTGAGTCATTTACTTCATGTCTTTTGTGAAAGGTTCGGACTATTAAATATCTTGTGAAATAAAGGAACAATTATAGTGAAATGTTAAAGAAAGAATCAACTGACCAAGACATATAGCCTAGTTATTCATGTTAGTATTTTTCTTTACTTCTTTTTGCTAAAATGTTAGTATCATCTAATATTGGACAACGATTTCCCAAATCCAAAAGTCATAATCGAATATGAATTAACACATTTTATTTTCAGTTAAGTAATATCTATATTCAGATCGTTATCACACTTTCTTATTACCATTCGTTTCCACAAGGAAAAGAAATATCGTGTATTTCAAAGACTAAACCTAAAATTTGGTCTGTCAGAATCTGTCTTAAACCTCACGTTATCATGTAAATGGGGATTACAAAAGTTCTGTACGTTGGGGTAATAATTGAACGTCAAGAATGTTGAACTAAATAGCAAAATCATTGAAAAATTCCCTTTTTAGTTTCGTTGAAAATATAAATGAGAGATATAAAGCAGCAAAATAACAAAATTACTAATAGTTGTCCACAATATTTCAACTTTGGTTATACTGTACACATAGACTGTGTTACAAATAAAACCGTAAAAGCATAACAAAATTTACTGTAGACGAAAAGAACTAAAATAACCTCAAACATGCACATTAGTAGTTGTAGGCTTGCAGCATTAACATTAACAACAAGAAAATCCAAGAAGAAAAGAAAGACAACTCGAATTGTACTAAATACAGTAAACTCAGTCCATTATTAAAAAAACTAAGCAATTAAGAAAAAAGGTAGCGTATGTTTTACCTTCTTACATCATCTAAAGACCCTTTTATCTGTTCTTTTGTCCAATAATACTTTTACCTTTATTTCTTCTTCTTGTGGTTGTTTTATGTAACATCAAGGTCTGGCTCTGTTGTTAATGCAACTTGGGCATTTGTAATGCTTGATGTGCTCTGCTTTTGCAGGTGTTATCTTCACACACTTTCCATGGAACCACTTCTCACACGCGTCGCAGCATATCCAAAACTCATCTGCACCGTAGCTGTCTCCACATGCTCCACAAACCGCACCTTGTTCCTCCTCTTCGTCACTCTCATCTTCTTCTTTAGGCCGTGGATTTGAAACCTTATTCAGGGATTTAAACAAACAGATAAGAGGTTATCAAAAGATGAAAAGTGAAAGAGGGATATACAATAGTTAAACAGAAATACCTTCACGCCGCTAGGTTTGCTTTTGCTATTGTTGTTGGTGGTACCAGATTGTTCTTTGGACTGCTTTGCATTGCCAGTCACAACTTCGAAAATGGTTGGGAGATCGTTTATCATCTGGAAGAGTCTCTTCCTGTAAAGGAAACAGTTCACCAGGCAAATGGTTACTAGATTGCTTAGGAGACTTTAATCCCATAGAAGAATCTAAACCGGCAAAGTTGTATAATTCAATCCACCAAAAGAACCACACATATAGAGACTTTCACTCACAACCCAATCCAAAATCCAGAATCACCTATTCATTCTGCTCAAACTTCCTTTATAACATGTTTGTTCACAGTTAACAAAGCTACAATCCAGTGCAAAACTGCCTAGACTAGTTACAAGAAAGACTAAACAGAATCAAGACGCATATAACATCTATTGACTTGATCCTATATTCCTATGTGTACCTCAAAACAACGTTGGTTCGGTTTGATGGGATTCATAACACTTTGTGGCTTCAGTTCGTCTCATGAAGGAAAAGATAGAAACTGAAAACTACTTACAGGAAGAGTTTAAGAGAATCTGACCCATTGAACAACATCAAGCGAGTTTATAAAGACACACAGAGAGATTGTTTAGTACCAAGACAACACAAGAGGATGCTAGAACGGTCATTATAACCTTACAGATATGAGTACCCGATGTGAGAGGCAACACTCGGAAAAAAAAAAAGACAGAGCTGAGAAGGAAGGAAACTTACCTCTCATTCTTACCAAACCCGAAACGTGCACCAAAGTAGAAGGCAACAGAAAGCAGCCAGGAATCACTGTGAACAGCAACCAGAGAAACCCAGTCTTTTTCTTGCATGCCGTCTCTAGCGAAATTGATGCCTAAAGCAGGTTCAGGAAGCTCAGGAGGAACTTCCTCGGCGGGAAGATTAACCTCCCATGTCTCATTTGGAAGTCCATACAGACACAAGTTCTCCTTCTCTTCATAAACAAAAAAACACATTCTTATTTAGAAAGATAAAAACACAGAGTTACTCTATCCAAGATAAAGCTTCTTAACACAGAAGAAAAGTAGTAGAAACAAAATAAAACAGTCACTATGAGAAAAAACTAAAACTTTTTTACCCAAAAAAAAAAAATTTGAAAAGTGAAAACTTTAATTGAGATCTGAAAAAACGAAAAAGGATTACAACATTTTCACTATGAAACACAATTGTAACCAACTTAGACTCTCTATTACATGAAATCAATGAGCGACAGATTGTAATAAAAAAAACACTAAAGAAGAAATAACTCACCAGGATCGCATGTTTGGTAAAACTTAACCATATCTGCATGAAAAGAAAAACAAAACAAAACAAACACACAGAAACTTCAAGCTTTATATACTTGTCGGAAAAAAACAAAATAGGAAAGAACAGGAAAGAGGAGAGATGAAATAGTAACCGAGAGTGAGAGCCTTAATGAGAGCAGCTCGTCGACCTCTGAAGTCGCTAAAGACCTCTTCGACTGTTCGAGGTGTGTTATGATTAGTATTCCCCTCCATTTTTTATTTATTTATTTTTAACAACTTCACAAGACCGGAGACTAATAAATTGCCTCACAATTGCCGGCGAAGGTGACTGTCCCGGTTGAAATCACAATCTGAGCAGAATGTCTCCAAGGAAACGAAAAGGACACCCACAGAAGGGGAAAAGGAAAAACAGAGATGAGCTACAGACACCCTAAATCGAATTAAAAATAGACAATTTTAGGGAAAGACACAACTACCTATGTGGCTATGTTCGTATCTTTTATGATTAAAAATTTATACAATTAAGATTTGTTTTAATTTAAATAATATTTTGATATAAAATCAGTTAACCAAAATTTGTGGTGATTATTATTTTTCATTAGTTTTTAGTTTCACTTTTTATTTTTAGATTTTGGTTTTTGGTTTTTAGTTTTTAAGTTTCTATTTTTCATTTTCAATTTTTGGTTTGGGTTTTTAATTTTTAAACCCGCTGAGTTAGTTTGAACTGATATTACCAACAAACAAATCTCAAATAATCGAACATCTAATTTAAAACTGAAAAGATGAAAATTTTTTTTAAAAAAATGAAATAGTTTATATTGTAAATAAACAAAGCAAAAAAAATATAATATGTGTTTTCACTTTTTGGTTTTGGATTTTAGTTTTTAGATTTGGTTTTTGGTTTTGCTTTACATTTTTTAATCAGTAAATTATTTAATAAAAATAATACAATAAATTATTTAAAAGTTACGATTGAAATTTATCAAAACAAAGTGATTGTTATTTAAAATAAAAAAATATATATTAACATGTTTTAAAGTACATGATTTAAATAAATGATTAATAATAGATAATTTTGTTATGTTAAAAATATTAAATATTTTTTGGGTCTGAAAATAATAATTGATTTTTTTATCTTTTAAGGTGAAAAGTTTATTCAATGTTTTTTGGAGTTTTTTCTTAATATTAAGCCCAAAAACCAAACTATATAATTTGTTCAAAAAATAAAAGTAAGCCCAAGACTATATTCCATAAATAACCACTGGTTTAATTTAATTATAATTAGTAGATTTTCATATTCCATATTTTGATGATATATATTCTTTTTAAACATTCCATATTTGTAGGAGAAACTATGTGTTTTCGGTATACACATAGATATCTGCCGTATTTTGAAGGTAGTTTACATTAAGGTCGTTTTTTTACATTAATTGTGTTGGTTTAATTTAAGTAATACGGTTCAATCAATTATATGACTTATAATATTTGTAACATTCTAGAAATGGTCCAAATTTAAATGACAACTTCTATCAGTAGATAAAAAGAATGATTCTATTTTAATAAAATAGATTCATATTGAGAGTTACAATCATTTGTAGTTCAGTTTGGTTCACTTTAATTTGATTCTATAAAAGGTTACAACTTAGATCTAACCATTTGTAGTATTCTGTTTAGTTCGTTTTATAGTTAAGTATAATAATTTAAAATCTTATAAAATGAACAATGTAATAGTACATGTATGTAATATGCTATATCTATATTTGGGGTATATAGTCAATTTTGGTTTTGGACTTTTAGTTCAAGACGCTAAAACGCAGCCCAGCTTTACCGGAATATGAAGGGATGAAATGTGTGGCCCAATTAAGAGTAATGGGCTTTTGCAACCTGGGAGTAATCGGTGCTGTGAGATTTGAAGTAATGATGATCATACTTTAGAAACTGCTGCTGGAAATATTTTTTAAGAGAAGGCAGTCGAGAGGCAAATATTCTTTAAACACTGAGAGAAAAACGCTTTTGGATTAACTAAGTGCAAGACATAATTTTTTTTAAAAAGTGCAAGAGATAAAGAAATGTAAAACAATTTAAGATATCACTAAGTTTGAAGATTTTGGATGGATAGGTATGCGTAGCAATGAGGGAGTAGAGAGTTTCAGAAAATGGTAACTTCCAACGATCGATAGCTCCTCTTAATCTCATTACACACATTTATATACAAATCAATCTTGTTAAGAACCTCAACTGTAGATTTTGAACTTAACAATGAGTCATAATATTGGGCTTCAGGTGTATGCTTATGTGTCTTTGTGAATCCTCCAAAACTATTATCAAAGATATAAGTCTAGATAGACAATGAGTTAATATAATGCTTGTTAACTGTTGCTCTAGATGGTGGGGATGTTGTTGACAACTTTTTCGAAGAAAAACTAATAAACGAAAAACATTTCTAGATACATAGTTCACAACATGCACTTGTTACACGTATAACTATATGAACAACGGATGGGATGAGGTAGCTTGTTTGGTAAGAACCCTGTGAGTCAATTGTCATGTTCACGGGTTCGACGCCAGGCGGAGGTGAACTGTCGATTCTTGTCACCAAATGCATAACCTTCCAGGATGAAGTGGACTGCTGTCTAACCTTATCCATGAGAATGATTCACGTAAGTGTAAGTGGGGAATCCTAAAATATATAAAGAAAAAAAACTATATGAACCGTCAATGCATGTATCAAACAAATTTCTAAATAAATACGCATGAGATATTTGAGCAAAGGGTTCGCCAAATTAAAATACATTTTATTATTAGTCAACTGACATTTAAGCTAGTATCCAAANAATTTCTAAATAAATACGCATGAGATATTTGAGCAAAGGGTTCGCCAAATTAAAATACATTTTATTATTAGTCAACTGACATTTAAGCTAGTATCCAAATCTTGTGGAAAAGTTAAACATAGTTGTTATTTAAAAACGTATGGTCTTTTTACATTGCATTCCCTACATTTTTATTTTGTCAAACCCTAAGTCATACATACGCACGTAGACAAAAGTAGCCGGCGTCTTTATATAGTTTGTCATCGTTTGTTGAATTATTAAGAGTTAGTAGATTGTTTATCTATAAAGTCGTACTAATCAGGTTTAACAATTTGGATCTAATGTGTTTTAGTCCAAAAAGAAGAAGAAAACTTGGATCTGGCATAATGCCCAAATGAATTTAAATAATGGTAAATGAAGACACAAAATATCAGACTCTTCTTATTTTAGTTGTGATTCAGAAAATTATAATGAAAACAAAAAACCATGCATTAGTTTGTTGAAGCATGTTTAGAAATCTGTGATTTTAATTGTTCTTGTTTAATTTTTGTGATCTGTTTCCTACATGAAAAAACGTAATCGAACTAATAAGTTTAATTACTTTTTTTTGTTCTGATTTTTGGATCAAAATGTTTAGCATGATTTGGTTGGCAAGGTGTCAAACCGGATGGATACCTTAGTCGTAATTTATAGATTCCTAGTTTTTTTTTTTTTTTAACATCCAGTTTATAGATTCCTAGTTTATTATATGACAGTTGAATTTAAAAAAAAAAAAAAAAAGAAGTTTCAAACTACTTTAGAGGTATAAATTACTTATTTGGACAAAAAGAGATATAAATTACTTATAAATGGATATATAAGTAGAAAATCAGTTCCATTACATAAATTGCAATAACCAATCATAGTCTATAGCTATAACTAAATTGTTTAAAAATTATAAAACGAATATATAAAGATATATAGCATTATTAAGTTACTGGAAATATTTAAGGTCTAGTTAAATATCACTTGAAAGGAATATCAGTATAGTGATCTTTGTTTCCATGATCAGGTACTAGTGGATTCCACATATCCCACAAGGCATTGTTTGGAATCGTCCCTGCAGGAATCATGTTCATGGCTAACGCGGCCTGCGTTTGAGGCGTTAGCGCCGCTGTAGTCGCCGCCGCCACCAGTTGCAACGCGTTTGCGTTTGCGTTTAGTTGTTGATTATGAAACTGTTGAGCGATTTGATAGTACTGGTGATTGATGTTAACTCCATCAGATATTTGGTAGTTCACGAGTCTCTGAAGATCATCAACAATTGCGGTCTCATCATCTTCTTGATTAGTTGTAGAGACTATAGGTGTGTTGCTTGCACCATAAGGCATTGGACGATAGATGTTCTGATTGGCTAGAGCTATGGTGACGTCAGAATTACTGTTTGTGGGGGTTGTGGTGCTACCGTCTCCGGAATATTCGGTTGAGAGCTTGTCGAGATTGTTGCTGATATTGTTGTTAAGGTTGTTGTCGGAATGATTAGAGGCAGATGAGTGGTGTTGTTGTTGTTGTCTTAAGGCCAAGCGGGATGATGATGATGCTGAGTTATGGTTATGATGTCTTGTGGATAGAGAACGTGGTAAAGATGGATGATCTTCTACTCCTGGCCTTTTGTACACTCGGCACAATGATATTTCAGCCTATACATATACATATATACATGTACACAGTGATCAGAGACTTGAGAGATATATATCAACAGCAATATAAGCCAACAACGTACGTACACAATTAGAAGAGTAGTATCATTTGACGTAGATATATATATAGTGTTACACTATTACATTTTTTAATTTGAGATTTAGAGTTGATTTATATATTTTTCTACATCTCTAGTCATACATTTTAAACATTCACAATTTAGATTTTTAAACTTATGTCAAGCTTGGTGTTTTTAGCTATCTAATAAAAACTAACACGTACACAAACGTAATGTAGTGACATCTTAATGTACGAACAACCGAAAACAATGTATTTGTCAGCCAGTGAAGAAATTACCATTTTTAATTTGGTACGTTCTGTATATCGTAATTCGTAATCATTCGTAACTTGTATAAATAATTTAATTTTTGTATATAACAATACCGTTATACATTCATATAAATGCCAAAAGAATTTGAAAAAAGTGTCAGGCAAGTTAAATATAAGTAATCAATGTGAAAAAGAGCAGGAAACTGCAATGTGATGTATTATTGTAAGAACACTAACTAAGCCTCTGCAAAAACAATGTGATACTTGTGACTTGTGAGTATATAGACATGTAAGTAACTATCTTATTAATGCATTCTACTATGCATATGGGCCATGGCTAGTAATTTAAAGAGTTCATGCGTATGGCATGAACATGTTCAGGATTTAAGCGCAAACGCCGCCTTGCATTAAATTAGAGTTCCGCCACGAGCATTTTGGATTTTATAGAAGCAGTTCCAAAATGAAAAATACAATTCAAACAATCTATAGCTTTATAAAAGAAAATAAAATTCAAACAATCTAGAGATTTGAAGGCATCAAACTAGCTAGGGTTATATCTATGTCTATATGAGATTAATATAAAGACTTTATCGAATGTGTACCTTTTGGTATTTCTCGGTT